TTAAATTACTGAAATTAAAGACATAAAAATGTACACATCAACAATGTTGACCACTCAGCAGACGACTCCTCCAATAGCACTCATCATTTCACTTTGCACTTTCTTAGACTTTTCTAAATTAAATTAAAATAAGAAATAGAATGATTTTCTTTTGCAACACACATCACATTAAAAATATTTTCAAAAATTTTTGTTTGAAAAAACGTGCCCATGTTGGTTGGCGCTTCCAAAAACAGGCGCCCGGGGCTCATGCCCCGTGTGCCCCCTCCCCCCTCTAGTTACGCCCCTGAAGCCTACATCAAGATGCTTGTCACAGTAACTTATTGTGTCTTAAATAAGACAGTAGGCCTACTGGTAACTTAAAAGTTAGTCGAATAGCCTATAGTAACTTAACAGACTTTATTTAAAAGCAACTTTATTAGTTATAGTTCATAGTTTGAATTGACATTAATTAAGTTACTTGTTTACAACTTTCAGCCTCTGCCATCTTGTAAATTAGTTTTAGACAAAATTGTATTTATAATGGTGAAACCATATGAATAAATAAATAAATAATAAATAAATAAGCTTATGACACAAGTGAGTTAATAGTTCTTTGTTTGAAGTTCATTGTTGGTGATGGTGAGTTAATGTTGTTCAAAGGTTTATTGCGGACATTTTCCATCACGATTGTAAAAAACAATACTGTACACAATGTTTCGGGATCTGGAATCTGATCCCGTCCTCAGATGAAAAAACTTAACTAACACATTACAACTAACAATACACAAACACCCAACCTAAGTTGGCATACACTACAGAGGGTAGCATTAAAAAAATATGCACTGTATAGCAGTCAAGTCCAGGGCCGGATTTAGCATTTTGGCGCCCCTAGGCCCAAATAATTTTTCCGCCCCCTGTTCTGGTCACAGTTTCTTTCCTACAAACCTTTATTTAAAACTATATCATGCCTAAAGGCCTATGTTAATTGCTTGAACACCACTCCTCGTCGGAATTTTATCATTGCAAGTTTTTTTAAGAATTATCTTTATGCTTTCAGCAAATGCTCACGCTTGTGGGACTGAAACAAAACAATCCAACCCACAGAGCATTTCTGCAAAAAAGCATGTCCACTGATTCCAATTTCAGGCCCCAAAACATGAACTCCATAACAGTACGTGATACCATAGATTAAACATAGGCCTTTAGTAATTTGTCATCCTTAGGGATTAGCTGAAAACAATTATTTTTATTTAAGTTATATGTTATTTAAACCTAGTTTCTCCAAAATAAAACGATCTAATCATAAACAATAGGCCCTGGTTATATTACAAGAAACTAAAACACCCACAACGACAACATAGAATAATAGACAATAATAGAAACAAAATTACGTCAAAACTAACTTCCAGTGTGACCAACATATATGAACTAGACATGAAAAACTATATTTAGGATTCGCATTCGCATTTCACATTTCGTTTTGTCATAAGAGCAAGCTCCCTGACTGCAAACCCGGTACCTGTAATTAAACATACCCGGGCCCCATGATGTAGGCCGAAGCTAATGCACCAACCTTTGGCACATCATGGGAGAATGACTTAAGGTCATCAGGCTCACCGGCTGCCGAAGCAACCCATCGGAGAGAGGGTTGCCCCTCAATCCTAACCAGGGATACCGGCTACTTGTTTAAGCGTCACTCCACCTGGGCTCCCCCAGGTACGAAACCCAGAAGGACCATAATGGAATGCCCTGACGCATTTAGTGCAAGCAACACTCGGGACCTATCTAATCCCTGACAGGCAGAGCCCGCCATCAAAGCCAGGAAGAAGGGGACCACCAGCAAGCTGATGGGGGAACCCCAACCACCTATTTAGTATTTACACCACTACCCGATCGACAATATATTAATATTATTAATTATTATATTATTATTTAGGATTGACAATATGATAACAAGTCGACTTGAGTTTATGGTTAATCTATGGTGGTACTGCATTCTGATTATATTTGCAAAGCAATAGTCCGGCCAACCATAATTATCCTCAGGGCTGAGCTGAGGAGGAAATGACATCAAATGGTGCTTTGGAGGGGATTTAATTTTTCTAAAACCTGTTGCAAACTCAGATAATTTTTTCGTTATTGAATTTTAAAGATAAACTTATCGTATTTTTAATATTCAAAACGTATTGTATATTTTAACTTGACCCTGCAGTGCAGGTTGCTGTAAACTGATCAAAAGATTAGTTAATACATTTTCTTTTTGTGAAGTAAGGATGGTAACGGTGTCTAACACGCATACGCCCCTAATCACTCCGATCAGTGGCGCCGAGCCAGCATAGTGGCAGTGCAAAGAGTACAGTGGCAACTGGCAATACGATGCGGGATGCGTACCGCTCGGGCGCTCGACATCCCTACAGCCTACTCCCGTATAACCAATGTTCGTTATCAATGTTGTAACGAAATTGATGCGTAATGTTGAAAAACTGTTTATATTTTCTAACGGTTATTTCTTTTAATGAATTTAAAAATTAAAATGCTTTATTGGCAAGAGTTTTTTTTATCAACTCACAAAATATGTTAAGCTATGGCTATTTATTTTATTTTTAGATATTAAAAAAAATATTTTTCCTCTCGGCCGTGCGCCCTCTGGGAGCTTGCGCCCATAGGCCCGGGCCTACCGGGCCTATTGGGAAATCCGGCCCTGGTCAAGTCATGATACAACATGCAAATAATAACCAATCACAAAACACTATAATCTATCAAAGGTGTAATGTAAAAAGCTCACACAATGGAACACTAATAGCACCGTTCGCAATGACTCCACCAATGAGACTGAATCCGACCAATCGGAAACATGGGGACAACAGAAATGGCTTCCAGTCCCTGGAAAAGTAAAACCAACAAAATGGCGGAGCGATGTACGATGCCACAAGATGGGTGTTAATTCTGTTTATTCCTATCACGAGTTTTACTACGAGTTAACATAACGTGCAAATTTTGAGGAGAACTCGTTATTTTCCTATTTATTGAACAATTAAGTTCCCTATCCTTTAGTTCCTTGTTCAAGATGGGTAGCCAAAGTGGCCTGATTTCAACCGATGACTGACTGATTGGTTGGTCTGCTAATTTAATGTATGAGGGTTCAATGAGTTTGCGTTTGAAATAATGAGGTTCCTTATGGACAATTTTTGCCTCTTCAAAATTCACATGATGATTTTCGGACCAGCAATGATGAGCGATCTTAGATTTTTCCACTAAACCTTTTTTTGTGTTTTCTCTGTGTTCTTTGATTCTAATGTTCAACGGTCTTTTTGTCTCGCCATAGTAAGGCCTGGAACAATCAATTTATTCTGTAAACACAGTTTTTAGTATCCTGAGTGTCATTTTTGGGTTTTGTTTTGACGAGACTCTGCCTAAGTGTGTTTTGTGTCCTAAACGCTGTTTGCACATTAAATTTCCTAGCAACCCTTCTGATTTTTTCCGGCAGCCCTGACACATACGGATTGACATGTGGACGAGCTTTTCCTTGCGATTTTGTAAAGGTTCACGCGTAGCCCTATCTTTCTTGCATTTGTTTATAATGGATCGAGGGTATCCATTACTAGCCAAATGCTGTTCTACTTTCTTTATTTCATCCTTTAACTCATCCTGATTGGAGCAAATGCTCTTAGCCCTGTCAAACAGAGAGTAAGCAACTCCCTCCTTGACAGAATTTTTGTGGTTTGATTGAAAGTTTAAATACTGCCCTGTGTGTGTCTTCTTTCTATAAACAGATGTTCTAAGACTGTTCAAATGCTTTTCTACGCACACATCCAAAAAGGGGAGTTTGTTTTGTGATTCCACCTCCATGGTTAGTTTTAAGGAAGATGAAACGCTATTAAGGTGCTCTAAAATTTCATTTAATTTATCATCTCCATGAGGGAAACCCACGAAAGTGTCATAGACTCAACATATCTCCACCATATCTTCGGTTTGAGCCGAGCTGAAGCCAAAGCTTTTTGTTCAAACTCCTCCATAAAGATGTTGGCAAAGATAGGTGACAATGGTGACCCCATGGCCATACCCTCATCTTGACGGTATAATTTACTCTTTAATTGGAAATAGTTACACTCCAAAAGTCCCATTATGTTAGTATTAGTCCATTGTGTTAGTTAAGTTTTTTCACCTGAGTACGGGATCAGATTCCAGATCCCGAAACGTTGTGTATTGTTTTTTTACAATCGTGATGGAAAATGTCCGCAATAAACCTTTGAGTTAGCCTAATAGTGCTAGATCATTGTCCAGCCTAATGATACTATTTACATCGCATAGATACATTTTTTAGACCTTTATTTTATTTGTACGATATTGTAATTAAATTAGCCTAGAACTGGTAAATACCCTACTGTAGTAAATAAACGAAACAATGAGGTAGATAGCAGGCTGCGGCTCTAAGCCTGGATGTAGAAAAGACTAGCCTACTGTAAGCGCAATTAAGTTAATTTTTTATTAGGCCTAGTCTAATTTGATTGATAACCTAGTGTTGTTTTATATAGTTAGCCTATTTTATTTGTTGGTGATAATTGTTAGTATATAACTTAAGTTTTCTTCTTCAGTAAATATAAGTGCATAGATATCTATCTATACCATTGACTATTGCATGTTATACATAGGTACGCTTCCAACAGTTCATTCAAATATGAGTTTTAATTGAACCTTGGTTGTGTTGCACTTGGTTAGGTTGTGAGACCTGGTTAGATTAGACTAGGAAATATTCAAGTAAAATAAGACTTAGTTTAACTGACTGCAGAAGTGCATTTGAGAGGTAACATACAGTAAATATATGTAAAACTGTTAAACATAGGCCTACTTTAGTAATTTTATCATGGAGAAGCTCACCCTGCCCCTCGCTCAGCTTGGGTATTATGGTAAGGAAGTAACTAACTTATTTACATGTATATTACAGCTTAATTCCCTTACATAGTTATTTCACTGTATCTTCTCACAGTTTACTAATGCATGTTTGTACAATTTTTCAGTGGGTTGGCTCTATTGATATGAAAGAGAATGACCAAGCTGACTGCAATATTGTTGTAAAACCTGACGATGGATGGCAAGAACAGGTAAATTAATCTATATATTAATAGGCAAGCAGTTTTCTTTTCACAGTCATAACTCGATAACGGTTTAACAGATTTTAACGTTTGAGGTGTCAAATTAAAGGCATTTTCGTGTAGATGTGCAAATACGTCTCAGAATATTTAGAAAGGGCACCACTTAAGTACACTTAAGGGCTAAAGTTTGGAAGGTGGCGCTCTCTGTTGACATTTGATCAAACTCATTTCCCTTTGTTTACAAATAACATATGGACGTAGTTTGAAATAGTTTTTAAGGTTAACCACAGACTGCAGGACTTAAAACTTCCAGAGCAAAGCTGGAATTTATATTTTGTTTCAATCTGTTAACTAAGTCTGGTTCATAATGAAGAGTTTCCTATCAATACTAGACAACAGAGTGTTAAAGAATAAATATTTAATTCTTTTTGTCTATGGTTAAATTGATTTACCTTACATTGTATTTTACTGATTATCATGTAGTTACAGTTCGATGTGATGAAGTGAATGTTTAAAAGTGATTATTCACAGGGCAGTTATCCGTTACATTACCATATTATCATGTAATTTACAATGTGTATCAAAATTCCAATTCCTTTATAGTGTTTTCTGTTATTTGGTTAACTTTCTTATTTCATCAATCATTTTAGCCTCTGGATTGCTTATATATTAATTGATATTATAAGGCCTTACCTTAGCAATCATGTTAAAAAAAACAAAAAAAAACAGGATTGCTAAGGTAAGGCCTGAGTGGAGTAACTGTGAGTGGCTGGAGGGAACGCGAACATGACCGCTTGCATCAACCTCTCAATTGAACATTTGATGGGTACATCGTGGTAGTACCACCGTTGTGATAGTCCAATCTCGGACAAATGAACGTTAAATACTTACATTGTAGTGGCTTACATATTTTTAAGCAAGAAAAGACTGGCCGAGACGGTTAAGTTTGTACTCTTTGTTGCCATAAATGAAAGGTTCGTTTACCTCATTTGTGCAATTCACCACAATAAACTACGGGTTCTTATTGGAAACTCCCAATCTGAAAATAGGACTGTGAAACTTATATCCAGAAATTATTTGGATAAAGTTTGTCAATTCAGTTCTGCCTTTACCATGGTCAGCTCCAAAGCTCCATAAGATGAGAAAGTTCCACAGGGGATCTACAATTTTAAGATCCGTGACACGTTTTACCACCGAGTGGGTCCTCTAATTCCTCAAGAAGGTGATGATCCTGAATACGCACAGATATATAAGTAAGTACGACAATGTCACTAGAACCCAAAGGAGAACTAAGCACAATACAAAAAATGCAATGAAAAAATATGCGGGAAATAGGGCATATTAACACTCAACAACAACTCCAAAACACCCCTTTGCAAATCTTTGAAGACGGTGGCAGACATTATGTAGGGACAAGAGCTCCGAGGAGTCAAGTGAGATTCTTATGTACATAATAAGAGACAGTAGAAGTGTCTTCCCTCGCTACAATGTGTAGATTTCGCAGCAATTTTTAAAGCTGAAAACAAAGCACCACCTGGCCAAATAAAGCGTATAGTTTTTTCCAACACTAATAATGTTAAACGCGTATCCATTATAGATCTGTCGTTAGATCCACTTAATTACCCTCTTATGTTCCCAACCGGAGACTTGGGTTGGGGCCCCTAATTTAAATACGCCTAAAACAGAACACAACAATGCTAGAATAAGAGTAGCGATGGTTGGCGTCAAGAGAGGAATTGAGCTACATTAGGCCAAAAGCTCACTTTACAGTGTGTGGTTGACATCTACGTGCTCATAGAGTGCACCTGCCTACTATACATAAGAGATAACCAAAGCATAGTGAATGTATGAGAGTGAATGTAAATTTAAATATTGTAGATTGCTTTTATATTTTTTTACATCATAATATTTTTATATTTCTATAATCAGTCATATAAATTATTTTAGAGTGACTCTTTGATTAAGTAAGGTCTTGCTGTTTATGTTTTATGTTTATTTTTTTATACAAGTTTCAGTTTTGCTCGATTCCGAGCAACAGGTTATCTAGTAACTTCTAAATTGCCATAAAAATTGAATAAAAGCATTGGTGCAGATCAAAATTTGCCAACCAAAGAAATGGTAACTAAAGAGAGAAAACTATGATTTTTCAAAACATGTGTACATGCTATGAACAGTTACGTATAGTTTTATGTTGGGAATAGGAGTTCTGTCATTGTTTCAATGATGTCTTGTAGTTTGCTATACATATTTTTCCTATATAAGGCATAGTACCTGAGGACCGAGCTTTGCTCGGGGGAAATCATTAGTTTACTCTGAAAGCAGTCTTAGTATTGCAGATACATTAATCCATTTCCAAACTCCACACTGCTTGCCTTAATACTACTTCCTTCGCCAATCTCTACGTCACTTCATCACTTCTCATTACTTCCTACGTCGCGTACCTGTTTCCCTCCCTTCCCATTACATTTTAAACTATTTACAACATTTGAAGAAAATCGTCAAAGCCGTTTTCAAGATCATTGTGCAAACAAGTATAGCCTACATACATACAAGCAAACATTGCTCATATTAGAGTATAGGATTGCGACAGAGTTTCAAATGAAGTTTAAGTCTGTGGATGGGTAGTTATTTGAATAAGTGAAAACTATGATTTTGTTTTTCATTCTAAAAGATATTGAGATTTGTTTTAATGGAAAGAAAAAGCTTGTAAATATACATGACGGCAAAGTAAGTAATTTAAAACTTTGGTCAGTGATATACCTCGGACGAGTTATGAATCATAGGACTGGAGAGCAGAGGAAAAGACACGATAGGGAATTAAGAGGATTGTATTTAAAGAATCGGTTGTGGTTTGTGAGCATAAATATGTGGAATGATTAGATGGGCTGGCGTTGTTTTGAGAAGAGGGGCAGATAATTTTAAACCAGTTCTTATGAGGAACCCTAAAGGAAAAAGACCAAAGAAAAGGCCACGACAAAAATGTTGGAAACAGGTGAAGTGAGATATAGAGCAGATAGGAGCGACAAAGGAATATACAGGAAGATAGAGAGTAGTGGTGGGGCTTTATTGGTACAGCCTAGTATCGGGGCCTTTAGAATACAGGGGCTGGCTCACGTCGACGAACAAAGTATTTCCACTGCCATGTGGCTGTGACGTCACCGCGCGGGCTCCACTGGTCGAGCTAGCGTGCAGCCCTCTATACAAACCATTAATTTACACACTTCCCTACTAGAGGTGGGCTAAAAGGGTACTTTCCTGTACCCGGGTACAACAGTTACAGGTACTCTAAAGTACCAGTTACAAGTACCCGTTACAAAAGTACCCGGTTACAGAAGTACTCTAGTCCAGTGTAGGTAGGTATAGTATCTACTTGACATTTTGGATTCATACCATGAAATCGGTACTGATACTGGGTAACTGAGTACCTCTTTACCTCCTTTTGTGTCTGTTATGTTTATTCAAATGTGTAAAGTGGTTGTATGAAAAGGCTTACCACTTTAACCTATTTATTTAAAAAAAATATATCGCACAAAATATAAACCCAACGGTAAATTTACATTATTACAGTAACCTAAATTGAGTAAAATATCGAAATGAAAAAGTAGGCCTATATTCAGGAATTAATTCCCTAACATTATTTATACCTAGTGACAGTTAGTTTTGGTTAGGCCTAAAATTAAAAAACATAGTTCCTAAAAGTGCCCCCGCCCCCCACAGCTAACAAGAGCGCTGCTGCTATGTCAGCACAGCAATAAAGTTACTTTTAAACGGGTACTGACTGTAACAGGTACGGCTACCATTACTTGTCCTGTACACAATTTTCCTAACTCCCTAGATAGATATTAGAAGTACCCGGGTACTTTTGTAACGGGTATTTAAGATTTTGAGTAACCGTTACTCTCCGCAAAAGCCAGTACCCGTTACAAAGTACCCGTTACAGTTACTTGGACACATCTCTATTCCCTACATATTTACAATATTCAATTGTCCGTATGAAACTTAACGTAGTTGTTATCTGCATTAACTACCGATTCTGACGTTCAAAAAATATTTTGGTTATGATAAATAATAGTTTTTTAAAGTGAAAAATGATAAGGATTACAATCTTGTGAACTTCAAAAAGTCACTAATTGAGGATTTTTTTTAAATTTTGTGATAGGATCAAACTGTGTGCAAGAAAAATGTTTATTAATAGAAATAGTTTTAGGTACTGTACTTTGTGGCGTCAACTTAGCCACAGCTGTGTTGCCTTTGGTCTATGCTTTGTTTTCATATTTGTTGTGTAACAGCTGTTGTTTGTTTTTGTAAAAATGTTCAGTTTTGATTATGTTATGATTCAACACACAACTTAATTAATTTGTAAATAAATCATTACCAAATACTCGTTCATATAGTGGTGAATTTAATTCATGCAGATTATCCACACTATATATTGGTGACCCCGAATAACGACAACAAGAAGCACGACATTCCTACATCAATATTACCAATGTCGCTAGAAGAAATCAAAGCTCAATTGGCAAATCTACGGGAGCAACAAAATGAACTTTCCACCAACGTTCAGCAACGCAACGACCCTGGTAATGTATCAGTAAATCGAGTTGCAGTAAAGCTTCCACCATTCTGGGCCGATCGACCTAGTCTATGGTTTGCTCAGGTAGATTCCCAGTTCACAATCTCAGGCATCACAAGCGTTGACACTCGGTTCCACTACGTCGTTTCTCAGCTTGAAACAGTGGATGTAGAGGACATAATCACAAATCCGCCTGCAACAAATCGTTACGCGGTACTTCGTTCGAAGCTAATTGAAAGGCTCTCTAATAGTGAAGAAGAATGTGTTCGCCAGTTGATAAGCGACGAAGATATCGGAGATCGCAAGCCATCGCAGTTCTTACGCCACCTACGTTCTCTGCTCGGTCCAGCCCAACTACAGGGCAACATCCTTCGAGCACTCTGGCTACGCCGTCTCCCTGTTAACATTCAAGCGATTCTCACTGCTCAAAATGAAC